CATTTGATCTATGTCTGTAAGTCTCAGGAGTAAGAGTAATATTTAGGACATGGGGAAGCTCTACTGCTTTCATGACTGCCAAGAACATAGGGAACAGTAGTGTTAACTGTGTGTTTATTAAATGCACATCTTCACACTGATATCATGGAAATGTGATTAAAAATATTTAATTGCACATGTTTCTGTTCCAAGGGTTTCATCCAAAAAATTGTTATTTGATTAGGTTCATTGGTCAAACATTAGATGTTTACTGTTCTGTATATGTCAGTCAGAATGATGCTGAAACAATTCATTCAATCATCTACATATATGTCCTGCTCAGAGTCACGGTAGTCTCACAAGTCAGACTTTTATTTAAACCATTAAGTGGCATGTTTTCAAGAGGTGGGAGAAAACTGGAGAAACCCGACACAGGCCCAGGAGCAACCGTGAAACTCTGCAAAAGTGACCACAGTTCAGCATTGAACCTGCAACCCTTGGAACATGAAGTAATAACACTACCCATTATGCCAACTCACCACTGTAGCTGGTGCAAGCTAAAGTTTAACTAGCTTACCCTATTTATTAGTTAACTAAGCAACATTTACCTAATATACTGATACACAGAAGTCTATTTTTTTCTTTTCACGTTTTACACAAATTAAGTATGGGCACAAAGTTTATATGCATAACTAAAAATTAATATGCATACTACAACTTTAAGTATTCATGCAAATATACATACTTAAAAATGAGTTTGCAAAATAAATACAGCATGGCATGGATGTCTGCTGGCTCAGTTGTCTTTATGATGTAATTGTTGACATTCACAAGAATAGAGAATAAAGAAGAATGTGAGCAAGACAAGTGAGAACCGTCACCTAAGTGGTTTAGCTAAGATTTTCAGTTATTATCAGGAGATTGCAGCTTAAAATCTTGGTAATCCTACAGTCATCAATGGCTAGAAGTCCATGAAAGCATAACTGGCTTGGCTCTCTGGATGGAAAGGTTTCTCTTGTTTTCCTTCTTCCTGTGCAATAATTAGTATGCTGCTTTCCAATCACAGACATCTGTCTTTTCATTTCTGTTCAATACAGTAGCACCTTCAGCTGCCCTATGACATTGCAGCTGGATAAGCTATTGGTAAGTCTCAGAGGAACGATTTTTTAAATCCAACCTCCTGAAGAGGTATCTGTGAAATAGGGGAAAACCTGTGGGGAAAAGCAGTTACGCATTGTCAATGGATAAACTTGGAGAAAGATCTCTCCAAATGTCTATAAATGTGTGATTATATATTGGCAGCTCATCCATAGGGGAAGAGCCCCAGCATATATATGACTCATTCAACAAATGTTCATTTTCATAAAGTTCTCTCTATACCTTTTAAAATTCTTTTGAAATACTAAGTACCTCATTTGAGCTGTTGTGAAATCATGGGGCAGCATGCTTCCTGTCCATTGAGACAGGAATTACCCTGCTTCCTGTCCATGCTCTATGATCCATGCTCAGGGGAGCGGTGGAGATGACAGTTAATAGGGTTGCCAGGGTCCTATATTTGTTTATGACAAATTGGACTAGTTTACAAATGCTCTCTTGTTAGATAGCAAATCATTGGAATTAAGTCAAATAAACTTCTGCAAACAAAGACAAAGTGTAAGTGCCAAAAGTGTATCTATTATTCTGTATACAAAACCATTTTTATTGTAAGATATCCTTCAAAGACTGGGATTGGAAAAGGTAGATTATGATTACGGGGTGTAAAGGGGGAATAAAATGTGTCTTCCTTTTCCAAGTCCTGATTTTCTGGGATAGTTTCAGCTCTTTTTGTGTGGATTTTGAGATGTAATTGGGCTGCAAATTTACCTGAACATGTAAAACCAGGGTAATGATATTAGCTCGTCTGTGAGCACGTCCCTGTCGATGGGATGTAGACCTGCTGTATCGAATACAGTTAAACAAATGTGTATCTCAAACCTCTCAAAATGAGCTGCTAGTCTGTGAGCTATATGACTGTATGTTGTCGACTCTCTGCTGCCCCTTTGTAGGGTTTTTCTACAACAAAAAAAATCAATAGATACTAGCCTAGAGTCAAGTGAGATATGTTTGATATATCTAATTTTGTTTGAGGCCGTGTTGCTATTAATGTCATCTGGCCCCAATGAAATCTAAGGTCATGAGCCACTTGTTGATTCCTATATTATTAACCTAAAAATGCTGCAAATCCAAGAAAAATAACATGTTGTCATGCATTGTCCAAAATGGTAGATTAAACCAAAACAAGAAGCCGTGTCACTGTCGTTTTCCTTATAAACTGCTGTGTAGTTCCTTAAAAAGATTGCATTGCGGCCTGAAACGAATAAGATGATAATGGGACTAATAAATTAACCAGCAGAGTGAAATGAGAGGTAGTATTTCTCTGCTTATTTGTCGTATACTTTAGACCCCAATGACTCCAAGAATGATTTTATGGATATCCAGTCTATTTTTTTATCATCCTCATATATTAATGACAAACACAGTAAAGAGATTAGGAACCACCTGTGGAACTTTATTACATTCTGAGCATGTAACACTACCTCTATATTCCCAGGCAAGTCTCATGGGATAGCTCATACTACTTCTTTAAAAGTTACAATTTAGGGCCTAATTTGAATATTGCTTAAGTAAAATGCTCCTCGACTTTTCTTCATTCTTACTATTCTGAGATTATTTATGCTAGCATCTCGATATGCAGTTAAAGCTGTAGATTTCTCTCCTGAACAGCATGTGATAGCTACTACGTGTGGCTTCCAGCATATATGTATGTGGTAACTGAGACACTCAGTGAAGAAGCAGGGCCTCATGCCCCAGATGAATAACCTGAGGCCCCTCCAGTCTACAAGCACTGGCAATAAATACAGCAGGACTAACGTGGACCATATGCAGAGTTCACCTTATCCTCAGCCCTTGGTTTTGAAAAACAAAACACTCCAATCTGGGTTACACCCATCAGTTCTCCAATCTATTCTCTGACCTCGATGTATATGCGCTAACACTAATGATCAACTTGAGTGGCATTTGTAGATGAACATGTGGTTCTTGTTGTGTTTACTGATAATAAAATAGATGTGCAAGAGCAAGGAAAACTTCCGACACACATTTCTGTGGGTCTGTATGAAGTGTAACCACTGCGGAATGCTTAGAGTCCTGTGGAGTGTTCAACAATAGACAAAGTGTTTCAAAACCACAAAGCCTGCAAAAGAAACATTAGAAAAATCACAGTATGTGCTATCACTGTGACACCATGATGGAGTGCTTTTCTCCAAAGATTTTCTCAGGTATCCAAAAGTTCCCGACACAACTGTGCAATTTTATTCTCAAAGCTAATATATAAGGGACAGATTTTTGGACCATTAAATCTGACATATTTGAGGTCCATCCATCCATCCATCCATCCAGTTTCCATACCGCTTATCCTACACAGGGTCGTGAAGGAGCATGGAGCCTATCTCAGGAGACTCAGGGCACAAGGCAAAGCGGCCACCCTGGACAGGGTGCCGACCCATCGCAGGGCACAATCACACACACATTCACACACTACAATTAAGTGATGCAAATCAACCTATGACACATGTCTTTAGACTGGAGGAGGAAACCAGAGTACCCAGAGGAAACCCCGAAAAACAGGGAGAACTTGCACACTCCATTCACACAGGGCAGAGGTGGGATTCGAACCCCCAGCTTCTCAGTGTTAAATAGCTGGCCAGCTATTTGGGATGGCAGGACAACATCATCATATAAATTCATAGTTTCTGTTTTAATGAGCCTCCATGGTTTATCACTTGTTTTTTTTTTTGGCCTATTTACCGTGTATACAGAACTCCAGCATTCTCCTTCAAGGTAAGTTCTCCTATAAGGTGCTGTTTAGAGAAATGCCTATCATGTAACACATTCAGCTCGGCAACACTTTTCTTTAGAGAAAAACAACATTTTCATAGCAGGTGCCAAAGGAAACTGAACATATTCAAAACATGCAAAAGAACAAACGCAAGTAAATTGTGCACTTATATCCAAAGTGCTTTACATTCACACACCAATGGTAGCAGAGCTGCCATGCAAGGCGCTAACTTGCCATCAGGAACAACTTGGGGTTCAGTGTCTCGCCCAAGGACACTTCGGCATGTGGAGTCACCTGGGCCAGGAAGCAAAATACCAACCTTACGATTAGTAGACAATCCACTCTACCAACTGCGCCACAACCACCACAACCGCAAATACTCGAAAACATTCATGACAAACGAACTGAGACTCAGGTAATTTTAAGTACCCCCTCATCCCCATAACTGCAGAATATTCATGGATGTCACACTTAAGTTGTTAAGATGGTGTTCATTAATTATAATCAGGCATGCATGCAAGGGAAACTGCAGCATCAGAGATTTTTCCCACATTAGACATGAGACATTATATGCTATAAATTCTATTCATGCCACTAATGTACTTAACCTGAGACCTGAGACGTTTGGCACCCTTATCAAAGGAATCCGCTTGACCACAGACTATATCAGATACCAGCCTCAGGGCATAAGACTTAACTGCTACTTAAAGGATACTTACATCTTTTGAACAGGTCATATAAGGCTTTACTGTGTCTCTGCATGGATATTCAATTTCTTTCATATATTTCAGAACCTCTATAAATGTCACATATAACTAATGATTTAGTTTACCTATAAACTATATGAAGAACACTTCAGTGAAGTATATTAAGGAGATGTTTGTGCTCCTAATCTAATATTACATGTAGCCTTCTTAAAATGATGTAGACATGTAAACATATTGTACCCATTATATTTAGTTTCAATATGCCAATGCATCCATCCTAATCTAACCATTAAAGGTCATGTGCAAACACATGAGCTCCCCAAACTCATCTATTGCAGTGCTATTTCTATCCACTCTCTCATTTGATAGAATCTTTATGGCCTTGAAGTGAGACATCTCCACATTTTGAAGTATGTCACACTGGCTCTGGTAATCGTGCTGAAATAGCTCAGGTGGGGGCGTGTTAGCCTGAGAATCTAAAGGTCCATGGTTCAATCCTGGTTTTGGCAGCTAAGAGTAATATCATTTAACTTTGATGATATAGCTTGGACCCTGTCCAGGGTGTACCCCGCCTTGTGCTCGATGATTCCTGGGATAGGCTCCAGGTTCTCCATGACCCTGAAGAAGGAGTATGCGGTAGAAGATGGATGGATATAGCTTGGCTTTTTTGGATACCAGCTTCAGAACATTAGGCATAACTGTTGCTTAAAGGAATACTAGCAATCCTGTGAATTGGTGCACCAGTCACAGTCAGACCCCATCCACATGTATACAGATAGATTTTAGCTTCCAATCTACACAAAAGTGGTGTTTTGGGTCACGGAAAACAAAAAATTTTTTCAAGATTTTTTGATAACGATTTCCAACATGGAGAACGTTTGGAACTTTAAAAATTGCAGCATGAACCTGCATATGCCCATTGTGGTTTTTGATGTTTTATCAACATAGTCAATTCTGTTTAGATTGCTAGCTGAACAGTTTGTTTGTTAGGATGTGGTCTATCATTTCATCCTTGATAACATGTTTAGAAATTTAGTTTCTTGTTGTTTTATTATTACATCCTTAAGTAGAGGCGCCAGAATATGATATACTCTGTACTGCCCTTGAATTCACCGCTATGGTAATACAAACAGTATTGTAAACAGAGATTCTGGATAAGACCCAGGTGAACATTTTGTATTCAAATGAAACCTTAAGCAGCAATTTAACCTCACCAGTGCAAACATATGAATTTAATTTAATTTTAGGATTTTTTTCATGTTGGTATGTTTTATAAATTTTGCTTCTCTACCTCTCAATATGCTAGCTTTTAACATTATTTTTGACACATTATTCTTGAGACAGTTTATGGCATACTATGACTAGCCTGGCATTCTCTTTCAGGTGGACAGATTTTTATTTTATTTTCCTCAGAAATACTGGTTGCCATGTATTTATATTAAAAAAAAAAAAAAAATATATATATATATATATATATATATATATATATATATATATATATATATATATATATATATATATATATATATATATATATATATATATATATACACACACACACACGCCCAGTCTCCGAAGGAAGGGGATCATGCTCCGCTTCAGTATGTCACAGTATGTTAGTATACATGGTTCCCTCAATGAACTGTAGCTCTCCAGTGCCGGCAGCACTCATGCAGCCCCGACCATGACACCACCATGCTTGACTGTAGCACTGAGGGAACCATGAATGCCAACATGTACTGTGACCTACTGAAGCAGAGCATGATGAGTATGCAATATTCCAGCATGATAACGACCCCAAACACACCTCGAAGATGACCACTACCTTACTAAAGAAGCTGAGGGTGAAGGTGATGGACGGACCAAGCATGTCTCCAGCTCCAGACCTAAACCCTACTGAGCATCTGTGGGGCATCCTCAAACGGAAGGTGGAGGAGCACAAGGTCTCTAACATCCACCAGCTCCGTGATGTCGTCATGGAGGAATGGAAGAGGACTCCAGGGGTAACCTGTGAAGCTCTGGTGAACTCCATGCCCAAGAGGGTTAAGGCAGTGCTGGAAAATAATGGTGCCACACAAAATATTGACACTTTGGGCCCAATTTGGACATTTTTCACTTAGGGGTGTACTCACTTTTGTTTTCAGTGGTTTAGACATTAATGGCTGTGTGTTGAGTTATTTTGAGGGGACAATTTACACTGTTACACAAGCTGTACACTCACTACTTTACATTGTAGCAAAGTGTCATTTCTTCAGTGTTGTCACATGAAAAGATTTCATCAAATATTAAAAAAAATGTGAGGGGTGTACTCACTTTTGTGAGATACTGTGTGTATATATATATGGGTAGAGACTACATTATATGGCCAAAAGTATATAGACACCTGACCACCACACCCACTCTGTGCTTGTTAAACATCCCATTCCAAAACCAATGCATTAAAATGAGGTTTGCAGCTATAATAACCCCCACTTTACTGGGAAGGATTCCCACTAGATTTTGGAGTGTGGCTGTGGGGATTTGCTAAGTCGGCCACAAGCGCATTAGTGAGGTTGGGCACTGATGTCAGCAAGAAGGTCTGACATGCAGTCTGCATTCCAGTTTGTCCCAAAGGTGTTTGTGCCAGTTAGTGCCAGTGAAGGGGAAAAAAATAACCTAATTTTACAGCATACAATGAAATTCTATACAATTGTGTGTCACCAACTGTGAGGCAACAGTTAGGGGAAGAATCACATGTAGGTGTGATGGCAAGGTGTCCACAAACTTTCAGCCATATAGTGTACTTTCCAAAAACGTCTGTATACAGGTAGACATGGCCTTAGTTTTCTTATGTGTTAATGCATTCAGTCTGATCTCACCATCAAAGATTATGTAAAACATCACACTGACTAAACACACCTTCCTGCATCCTGCACTATCCATTCTCTTGCATGCAATAAATTGTCCTTATGGCCTTCTATGTTCCATGTTTTGCAGGAAACAGAAAGGATAAATTCTGTAATACCAATGTCATACTGAATCATCTAATTATACTTAAAATAGCCTTCAAACTGTTACTGAAAACTGTTAGTATTCATATAATACTGAGGCCTAGTGTGATAATTAGGTCACTGAAATGCAGTGTTCATGCTGGTGGAAGTCCTAGTTTTGACAGCTCTTCCTGGTGGGGGAGGGAGTTGTGGTAAATACTGAACAAATGTCTCTAGCCGCAGGAGTTGTGGAGCTCTGGTAGCTCTGGGTTTTGGAGACGAGAGAGGAGAAAGTGAAAGAAAGTGCTGTTTTGAGACACATGCAATCCATCTGCAGGATTCTATAGCTGAGCTTCATTTATCTCTCCAAAAGTATAAAATGAAATTAGATTAGGCCACATAAGAAAACATTTCTAACAGCCATTTAAACCATATGGCACTATTTTGAAAAACACTGTTTACTATACACCTGAGAAAATTGGGGAATGAATGTATTGATAAAATAGACTGTAATGTGCAATTACAAACAAACAAAATAATGTAAAGGCTGTCATCGTATAAATATTCACTCCAATTGCTGTTTAACCCCTAAATGAGGTCTTGTTCAACCAGTTGTCATCAGCAATCAAATGATTAGTTAAATGGAGTCCACTTGTGTGCAATTAAAGTGTCATGTGATCTCAATATAAATACACCTGTTCATGGGAGGCCCCAGAGTTTCTTAGAGAACATACCTAAACAAACACCATCATGAAGACCAAAAAGCTATAAAAACAAGTCTGGGGAAAAGTTCTGGAAAAGGTATGTGTTAGGGTTTGGTTATAAAAATAATCTAACCTTCTGCAAAAACATCCTGCAAAAGAAAATTAAATCCATTATTAAAAAAAAAAAGAAAAAGGAAAGAATATGGTTCATACGTGGCTGCTAAAAAAAGGCTGTCCACCTAAAGTGACCAAGTAAGTAGAGGGTCTAGGGTACTGAGAGGCAAAGGGTAATTAAGGATCTGGAGAGATCCACAGCTTAGATGGGAGCTGTTCAGAAGACAACCATATCCTGGATCCTACACAAAGCTTGTGTGAGAATGGGTTATTTAAGAACTTTTTGGAAGAATGGTTAGAAGAAAGCCATTATTGAAAAAGATATATGAAAGTCAATTTGGAGACTCAGCAGGCATGTGGACCTTTTCCACATTTTAGGTCTGATGAGACAGAAATTGAAATATGTGGGCTTGACACAAAGTGCAACCTTTGGTTGAAAACCAACGCTGCTCATCACCCTATGAACGGTGTGATGAGCGGCCGTTCTTTTTTTTGTTTGACTTAGTTTGAGAACTAAGAAGTTCTCAAACTGAGAACAGAGCACGTCCCACTGAGAAATCTGTGCTTCTCTGACCCTTGTGTTGAGAGGTGTATAAGCCCGTAACCTTGATAAATTTGAGTTTGAGGGCACTACAATTGTTATCATCTTTATCTTGCATGACCGTAATTTGTCCATAAGCACTCCATAAGGAGATATGATGTATATTTATCTATCCACACACACACGTTTGTCTTACTGCCCTTGTGAAGACCTTTCAGTGACATGTTATTAATGCAGCCAATTAATATTATGCTTACAAAACAGTAGCAGGGTTGGTCACAAATCACTGTCATTCTTAAAAATGGGTTGAGTCACCAGAACCTGTGCTCTTGACTCACATAACCAGCAGCTGTGATGCAAGCTGGAAAGCCTTATTAAGTGCACCACATTTGCTAATGTCTGTTCAAGATTTGCCTCTAATCGCTAAAGAGGTCTAAAATGTTGCCAAATCTAGTGACCAGGTCACTAAACAAACAAGGGATAGAAACCTGTAAACTTTACTAGTGCCAAGGTTAAGTGCAGACATGGCAACAGCCTGGGACATCCTGCACTTGTGGGAAAAGGGAAAACCATGGCACACACGCACAGCATTTATTCCTGCAGGCAAAATCAGAACTGATGTATTATGGTGTTAAATATTTAAATACAGCTTATCTGTAATTGGCATACATTTCTGTGTATGCATTGATAAATGATGGTAGATCTAGAAAATCTCTTTTTTTGGCTAACAATACAGTAATTTACTCTGTTTGTTCCAGACCACACACACAGACACCCACACACCACTTACACACCACTTTGCACTTGTAGCAGCATTCACTAGAAAGTCACTGGCCATCATTCAACATGAAGCTGAACCAGTGGATCATTGTACATGGCTAACAAAATTACCCCATTCTTCCATCAATCCATCCATCCATTTTCTGTACCGCTTATCCCTAATGGGTTGCAGGGAAGCTGGAGCCTATCCCAGGGGGCATGGGCATTTGGCAGGTACACCCTGTATGGGGTGCCAATTTATTACAGGGCCCATTCACGCACCCATTCACGTACTACGGACACTTTTGGACACGCCAATCAGTCTACAATGCATATCTTTGGACTGCGGTAGGAAACCGGAGTACTCGAAGCACAGGGAGAACATGCAAACTCTGCACACACAGGGCAACAGCAGGAATCGA